GCTGGAGCCCCTCCGTGGCTTTGCTCCGCGTCTTCCTGGTCTGCAGACCAGGGAGACGCTGAGCAGCTTTTCTCGCCCTGGAGTACACGGGCGGCGGGACCGTGAGGTCCTGCAGTCCATGTCCTCCGGGGCGAGAAAAGCCCCGTTCGTACCTGCAAGTCGGGGACTGCCTGTATGTTTATACCTGGCGTATAAGACGATCCCTGATTTTTGGGGGATGTTTTTTAGTATAAAAAGTCATCTTATACGCCGGAAAATATGGTATTTGATAAACCTGTCTTCTCACTCTAATCCTTCCAGTCTTCTTTGAGTCTGTCTACATTAGGGCTTTCTGTAGGGCTGAGAGCCAGTACCAGTGGAGGTCTGGGACAGTGGGCAGGCTATGAGGAGGAGCCACTAAACTCAGGGCTCAAATGAATTTTGGGAACAACAAATGATAAAACAGGTATGTGTATGAGAGTCACACGATCATAAGCAGGGTATCTAAAGGGGACACCAAGCAAAGAACCCCAGATAGCCCCCACTGCTCCTTGAAGTGTCTAGTGAGTCAGAGGACATGGCCCAGAGAAATCCAAGAAAGGAGCAAAAAATAGGTCTCACAGTCACTGAGCACTTCTCTGTCCAGCATCCTTCTCCTGGTGTTATAGATGGCCAGTGCCAGGAGGAGGGGAAACTAGTGTTGCTACATGGATTTATGATGGTGGTTTGGTGGGAGTAATATAAACAAAACTTATAAAGCCTAGGTGTTCATCTTTGTTAGTCTCTAAGGGTATGTCTACACTGCCACCCTAGTTCGAACAAGGGTGGCTAATGTAGGCATTCGAACTTGCAAATGAAGCCCGGGATTTAAATATCCTGGGCTTCATTTGCATGTCCTACTGGAGGAATAATGGTAGTTCAAATTAGGAGCTTTAATTCAAACTACCTAGACCATGCCGCATGTAGCCACAGGCAGGTAGTTCGAACTATGGGGTATTTAAAAATGGCAGCGCCTGGGAACATGCAAATGAAGCCCAGGATATTTAAATCCCAGGCTTCATTTGCAAGTTCGAATGCCTACATTAGCCACCCTAGTTCGAACTAGGGTGGCAGTGTAGACATACCCTATGGTGCTACAGGACCACTCATTGTTTTCTAAGTTTTTTTAAGTTACAGACTAACATGGCTACCCCTTTGAGACTTTTGTGTACAGTTTGTGTTGGATCTCAGGACTGGAGCAGAGCCTGCCTTGTTACAGGCTCATCATAAGAATGTCCTTATGAACAAATTAGATAAAATATTAAGATTCTATTAGACTTCAAAAAGTGTTCTGTTTTTTTCCTGTTCCCAGGTCATATGAGGCTGTATAGGTAAATATCTTTATAACTATGATGATAAATTTTATCTAACGGTACATCTAGACAGTGGGGCTATTTTGGGACACTTCCAGCGTCTTTTAAACGTGCCCACTATTTTGAAATATTTTTTAAAATAACGGGCCACTATTTCATCATCCCCATAGCCCTCGTTCCACAAGAGTTAAGGGATGTGTTGAAATAGTGTGTTATTTCGAAATTTGGCACTGTGTAAATGCGCCAAATTTTGAAATAAGCTATTTTGAAATAAGATATGCAATTTTTGTAGGAAAAATTGCATATCTTATTTTGAGTTTAGGGTGCTAGATGCACCCTCAGAGGAAAGTCTTGTCTTAAAAAACTTTTTGTCTTTCTCTTTGATTTCTTTAATCTCATCTGATAACAGAGTATATTGCTTAGGAATTGTCTATTAGTAGACATTTGAGTGGGAAGGGCTAGACCAGTGGTTCCCAATCTTTTTGATACTGGGGACCAGTAAACCCATTCACAAGCTTTTGGAGGATCGGTAACATTTATTTGCATATTTGCGTATTCACTAAGCAAATTATGAATAAGCAAATAAATTGTTTCTGGTTCTCCCAAAGCCCCCACAGCCAACAGGAGTGGGCCCGGTCGACTGCCCTGGGTGGTTTCCTGACCCCAACCCCGAGGTATCTACTTCACCCCCATTTGGGACCAGTACAATTAGAAGGTCCCTCTGAAGCCCTGGTAGGTGACTTGGCTTGTATGGGCCCTGGAGATCGGGTGAGTAGTCCCGTGTCCTCTCCCCCAGTCGTGTCTGCGTTTGTGGATGAAACCGTGGGCCTCACTCTGCCCCGGGGTATGTTGCTGTCCCTACCTGTCTGGTGGGTTGTTCCGCCCCCCCTCCTGACTCCAATCCTGGTCACTTTATCGGCCAGTGCTGGCTCCCCGGGCTGCGTCTGGTGCCGGGTGTTCTGCATCGGTGTGCACAGCGCACGGCCTTCTCCCTAGGTCCTAGCACCCGCCGGATCTAGCCCCACTGCCCGGGAGCATGCCCAGCAGAGATGCCGCAGCGGCAGGCTCTCTCCCAATAATTGTGAACGAACATTTTTGTGAGGGCCAGTATTTTTTTTCTAAAGACCAGTACTGGGCCGCAGACCACACTTTGGGAAATGCTGGGCTAGACTATTCTGCGAAGGATCTAACAACCTAAAATTGTGCTTCTGGCTGAGAACCAAACCTTTTCTCATATGATGCTTCAGAAGCAACTAGAAGATATGAAGCTGCTTCTGTACTTAGTGACTTCTCAAAAGTTGCTGAGTTGCTTGACTTCCTCTGATAATGCTTTATATTAAGGGAACCTGTACAAATAGCTTAAATGATGTTGATAATTGGTTAATATATATATTTTTAAAATTGATTAACCAGGGCTTAAAATAGTCTATGATATTTGCTATTAATAAGCTGAAAGCCTATTACCTCATGTCTATAACATTTAATAATCCTTTATATACTATTTATAAGTTATTCCTTTAATATGAAGTGTGAACATTTCCTCTTCTGTACAATATAGTGCCTCCTCCGCACTGTCTACTTTTGCTCCTGCACATTATATGATCAAGTTACGCAGAAATTAGGTGTGGAAAGTAGAGGAAGCAGCTGGCTGGGCCAGCTGGTATGAACTGCTTCAGAGCTATCAAATCCTTCCTACCTTATAAGAAGAGCAGATACGAGATGGAGGTTCTGAAAAGGGAGTAGGGGAGGAAAAATAATTGAGAAAGAGAATATGAGGACTAAGAAAAGGAGAACATGGGGCAGGGTAGGTAACCGAGAGGGAAAGGTTGTTTTTTGGTTTAGGGGAGGATATTACTTGAGTAGATATTAAGGAGTTCAGAAATGAGCCCTAAATGCCTACAATGTGAGAAATGTGTAAACAACTTAAAATGCTATCATTGTACTGACACTCTTCAAGATCTCTAATAATATTGCTTTGTGATTTGTGCAAGGTCACATTTTGTCCACATTGTGGGCTGAAATGAAAAATGATATGACTGAATTGTATAATGACAAACTTTAAAAACAAAGCACATCTTTAGCTACTGTACCTCAACTATAAGTATAACTACCAATTTCACAGTCCAGTTGTGGTACTGCTACCCTTACTTCTACACCGCTTCTGCTGGAGGTGGCACTGGGCAGCTGGAGAGCAGTGGCTGTTGGCCGGGAACCCAGCAATGAAGGCAGAACCACCGCCAGCAGCAGTGGAGACCACGAGGAGTAATGGT